GGTGGCCCATAGAAACTACAGCCCCTAGAATGTAATTTTCCATCTTGACCCAAGATAACAGAAAGTGACACACTGGGCAACCTGTATTCAGCTCGCTATTATACACAAGGGTAAAGGCAATCTACTCCAGTTTCCTGTATGCTGTGCTCCCAGAAAGTTGCCAAAACAGCCCTTTGGTTAGGAAAAATTTGGGCAACCCTCATTCTTACAATCTGGAGCTGAAGTCACAGCTAAGACAAGGTCAATTATCATCACATGTCCACTGAACCCCACTACAGAGGCTTTCTGAAGAGCTGTCTTGTTGTTAGGGCACTAGCCTGGGACTCAGGAGATCTGGTTCAGCTCCCATCTCTGCCACAGACTCAACACATGACCCTGGGCAAGTCACTTATTGCGTGCCTTATCTCCCCAGCTGTAAAATATGGGATAACGCTTTGTCTTGCCCACCCTTTTGTCCACCTTACCTCTTTAGACTGGAAGCTCTTCGGGGTTGGAATGATCTCTACTGTGTTTGTACAGCATCTAGCATAATGAAGCCCTGATCTTGGTTGGATCCTCTGGGCGCTAATGTAATACAATGATATAATAAAGGATCTCTCCATTCAATACACCTCCACAAAGAGAGAGGAGGGATGCTCTTTTATGTGATGGGGAGGGAATGCAGGAGCGACATACAAAGAGACATGGACTCATCACACGGCACAATGCCAAAGGCAACGACTGAGTTTAAACTGGGAAAAAACAGACTGTCAGCGTACTAGGCTCCCAGCAACTATTGCCAGGGGCTGAGATTGGCCCTTAAACCTTTAGAGGAGGAATTGAGGATTTTTCATATTTAGAAAGACATTAGCACGTCAAACGTTAGAAAAAAATCCCTGTTTGAGTTGTTCAGCAAAGGCAGAGTTTTCCATTACGACTTTTTTTTTTAAATTTACCAACCTTTTTAGGATGATCTCAGAGAACAGTTACTGCAGACAGACGGATGTCCAAAAAGGAATCTGCCCTATCCATCCATCAGAGGATAAACTGTCCTGGACGTTAACCAGAGAATCAGATACAGGACTCCTGAATTGTATTCCCAGCTTCATCACAGACCCTATGATCTTAAACAAATCACACCACTTCCCTGTGTTCAGTACCCCATCTGTAAAATGGGGGTAATGCCTACTTCCTCACCTCTGAGAGTCTAAATCCCTACTGTGAGGCATTTGGAGATGGAAGATGCTATAGACGCACAATCAGTTATACCATCTTTAAGACTACTGGGGCTGTTTTTTGTTTTGTTTAAAGGTAATATAACCAAGCACAACCTGGACCTCAAGTCTGGTTATGAAAGCTCTCTTTATACCTGTAATAGACACATACTACTTATGTAGTGCTTCATGAAGTCAAAGCACTGAGCAAATATATCAGTCTTCAAAACTCCTCTCTAAATATTATTTTTGGAATATCGTAACACCCAGAAGTCCTAGTTATGGACCAAGACTCTTATTGCGCTAGATGCTGTACAAACACAGAACAAAAAAACACTCTGCCTTCCCCAAAGAGCTTACAACCTAAGCACTCATTTTACAAATGGGGAAATGAGACAGGTGGAGGGCCTGTCCAAGGCTGCACAGAGAGGCAGTGGCGGAACAGAGAGGCAAGCTCATGCTCAGGTTACTCTGGAGATTTTAAACCCAGAGGCAGGTTATAATCCAGTTTCTGATAATGGGGCCTGTTTATATATAATTAGCTATGTGCTTTCTCTGAATGCAGAAGTGTAACATGTGGTGCAAGTGGAGAAAATCAGAAGAGAAATTAAGTAAAGATGGTGGGGCTGGGTGGGGGAAAACATCAATTTAATCTTCTGTGCCAAGGGATTTACAAGGAAATGTTATCCATCTCAAGTTGAAAATGTTGATCACATTGATGTGCAGGTGAACAGCTTCTACCGAGATTTTTAGAGCAGACAGGATCGCAGATTTAAGGTCTTGTCTGAAAAGTCCCACAGATGCATGGTACAGAGTTAATAAATGAATAAAAACTGTGCAAGTTTATCACTTCTTTTAACTCAGACGAGTCCACGAAATGTTTAGTTCTTTATAAAAATGGCATAGTGGGTATGGCAAGCACCTTCCCTCCTGTTATGGGGGGAGGGAAGCACTTCTCTAAATTGGGTCCACACAATATAAAATCGCCAAATTCAAACTGCAATCACAGACATGACATAGCTCAGATACCAGGTGACTTTATATGGATAAGTGGGCTTGGCCACCCCAACAGGATGAGCAGAATCAATGGAGCTGGGGACAGCAAGCTTTGAAAGGAAAGGAAGCTGACCCACAAGGGTAGTTCGCTTCTGGGGCATAGCTCATGAATTGAAATGTGCACATACACCAGCTGGTCTGTTGCCTCATGCCCTCAATATAACAATTACCTCCCAAGGCAGCCCTGCCCATCACACACAATGTAATCAATAGCACAGTAAATGCAGCTAGAGATGTAGCAACATGTTAATAAAAAGAATGGGGAATAATAAAGAACCCAGTTTTAAGGGATGCTGCTGCCAAGATATTAGAACTTAAAAATAACCCTGGAGGTTTGAATCTGAATTTAAAAATCTCTCTCTATATATTTCAGAGCTCAGGTCACTGAATGAGCAGAAACAGGAAAATAGGATGAGAGAGAACAATGACCTGGAAAAGGAGCGGTAATACCTCCACTCTGCACAGACACAAGGGTATAGTACACATGGATTGTCCAAACCTAAAACGGGATTTGAAATAATTTCTGATAATCAAGGGACTTTTCAGTGTAATTACAAGACGCTGGGGATCATAACCCAGTTTCCGAGAACAGGATGCAGTGTAACTATATTCCCATTTCCTAGGCTAATGGAGACAGAACCTTGCCAGTGTTAACATTTAAGTACATTCAACCTGGAGGAATTACTAATGCAAAACAAATACATAAGGCTCCATGCAATGCACTGGTACATATTGCTGCCCCCACTGAAGGGGTTTAGTTTTTTGAATTTCAGAGGGGAAAGAGCAATCAGACTCCAACCAGAGGAATCACTGCAGGATGGCAGGCCCATGACTGTGTTGCAAGCCAGCCGTAGGAAGCTGTGAGCTCAACCCACTCCTCCATGCTGGTACAAATTACCGCTCCCCTCCACCCTCCCAATTAAAGTCCCTGGCGTTCCACCATGCAATACTCACACACACCCCCATTCCCCTCTCACCAATTTGTCCAATGAACTCCACCTTGATGCCTTGGTGCTCCAGCCGCTTGTTTGGGTGCTTGAGGGTGAGGGTGACCCGACCTGATACTGTCTCTCCATCATAGAAGAGGAAATATTTCTCCTTCTTGCCCTCTTCAGTCTTGTGCTCAGCCCTGCGCCTGCTCTCTGCATCGCTCAGCACCAGCTCCAACTCCGCACTCTGCCCAAACCCAAAGAAGCTCATCTCACTGCTGGGGAGGAGGGGAGGACAATCCCAGAGGGCTAGCGGGGTTGCTGTGGGGAATGGGGTGTACTACTCCAGGGAACACTGGAGGAGTGGCAGCGTCTGAGGATTTTGTTTTCTTCAAGGGGCTCAAATACTATGGCGACGGATGCAGTACAGAAACCCAGATAAGGAGAGGGGATGTAATCCAATTTTGGGGATGAAGACTGGAATGCTAAAGGATCCTGGGGAGGTTCAATCCTAGCAAGCTGGGGGACTTCAGGCTGGAAGAGGGTTCAATACAGCTCAAAGGCACTAGAGGGATATATATTTCTGGGGGAAAGGGATAAAAGTAACCTCAGAGCGCTAGAGGGCTCCTGTTGCTTAGGTAGGGGAGTATGTTGCAACCCAGAAGGTTGCAGCTTAGGGAAGGGTGGTCCAATGCAACCAAGAGAGGGCCTAGAAAGCTGCTTAGAAGGGCGATGTAACAGCCTAAGGAGCTGCTGCCGTTTAGGAAAGGGATGCAGCACAAAGGTCGCCTACGGAGTCTGCAGCCGCTGCTAGGAGATGAATTACAAGGGAGGGCCGCGGCAGCTGGAGACCGAGGGGTTCAATGCACCCCGGGGGGCTCTGCTGCCTCTTACCTTCACTACTCAGGAAGGGGTGGGGGTGCTGGGTAACAAAACGGGAGCACTTACCGCTTGGGGTGGGGGCTGCAATGCAGCAGGGGCACCAGTGCTGGGGGAAGGAGGTGCAACTGGGAGGGTCCCCCCAGTGGGAAGGTATAGAGAGTACCCCAGCAGTGGGGCGAGGGGGCGCAAACGGGGAGGGGCCCCGGCTGTGGGGCGAGGGGGTGCAAACGGGGAGGCCCTGCTGGCGAGCGCCAAGCCCCCCGACCGTGGTCTCTGCAGGGCTAATGACGCGCAGCGGTCACCCCGCGGCGCAGGAGCCGGGCTCGGAGCGCGCACGATGCGGACCCCGCTCCGGGCTGGATGGGTGGGAGGGACGCAGCAGCTCGCGCTCTGCCCCGGCTGGCTGGCACTAGCTGCGCTCGAGCTGTCTTCCAGGGCCGGGCCTCGCACTGCGCAGGCGCCGCCCAGCCCGGCCTCGTTTCCTCACATTGCGCAAGCGCCAGCTCCCCGTTCCGGGACTCCCTCCCCGCGCAGGCGCATCGGCTCAGCTGTGAGCGCCCCGCGCAGGCGCAGCCGGCCAGCCAGTCCCCGGCCCACGCTGACAGCGGCTGTGATTGGTCGCTGCTGGGTCGGAGCGCGGATTGGCTGGTTCGAAGGCACCGGCGGCGCCGAAGCGAGGAAGGCAGGATGGTGGCGGCGGAGGGGCCCCTGCGAGGCTTGGAGACCTGGGGACTGCGGGCGGTCAATGCGGGTAAGCGGCGGGAGGCCTGAGCCCGGCCACGGGGCCGCCGTGGGGCGGGGAGACCTTCAGGGGAGGGGGCCCCAGGGGTTCGGCGGGAGGAGGCAGAGGCCGGGGGGGCTGAAGG